AGCGTCGTCGCTGGGACGGTCCCCTCTGGCCAGCTCAGCAGAAAGGGGAGATCCTGCTGGGCCAGGACCCGCAACTCCCCCCAGGTTTCCCGTCGCAGCCCCAGCCCTCCCTGCCTCTGTCCCATGGCACAGACAACATCCCTGCCCTTCCCAGGGGAGCTGGAGGTGGCAGCAGAAAGCAGAGGGCAGGGGCGAAGGCCACCCGTGGGCAATTTTTTTTTTCCGACACTAAAACATCCTGAAATGCCAACGAGAAAGCTGGGCCACGCTGGGCTGGCAGCCCTGGCACTGGGAAGGGGCCAGCAGCCGCGCTCCCAGCAAGATCATGTCGCCGTTGCTGAGCCCGAGAGCGAACGATCCGAACCGCGATGTAAAACCTCACGAGATTCTAACATATAAACTAAAGTGGGATTTTTAAAATTTGCTTCCTGGTTTTGTAAATCTTCAAAGCCACCAGTTCAGGCTTTTTCAATGCTTCGGGGGGTTTGATTTCTTTCTTTTCCTTTCTCCTTTCTGAAGAAAAAGTGAGATTTTTCATTTAACCTCAGGGCTCCACTAAAGACATCAAATAACGGGAAGCCTGTCACCAAGGTGAGGAAGCTGCCACCCCAGGACGGCCGGCAGCCAGGGCTCGCTGTGCTTTGCGCTCCGAGGAAACGCCCGCTCTGCCCCCGGCCATCACACGCAGCTTTTAAGCTACGCAAAATAACCCACAGCTCCAAACCGGGGAGAACTGGCAGAAAGCACGGAGCCCACCGCGGCCCAGGTGCCGACCAGGACCGGCTCCCAGTAAACCCCGGGGAGATAAAGGTTTCCAGTCCATGGAGCAGCGCAGCCCTTTTACCCCCACAGGCGAAGGGGACTCCAGTCCCCATCGGCACAGCGGCGTGAGCGGGAACGCGGGTGGCGCTGGGGCTGCCCGGCGTTAAAGAAGCGTGGGTCGTCGCTGGGAACGAGCTGCTCGGGGCTGGCCACGAGGGGTCAGGGACAAAGCTGCTGGCACAGCCCCGCGCCAGGCACCAGCCTCCCAAACGCTGCACACTCAGGCCCCAAAGGGACCCCAACGCCGAGGGCTGCTCCTGCTTCCCATCCCCGGGCTCTCGCAGGCTCAGCCAGCAGCGGACAGAGCACCTCCGCTCACCCCAGCCTCCTCCTCCTCGCTCTGGGAAGGAAGAGAACAGCCATTCTACTCCTGCGTCCTCACGGGGGGCTCAGGACCGCCAGCACCAAGGCTCAGAGTCCCCCCCAGCGTTACCCGAATCTGGGGCTCATTTC